AATACTAATATTTTTTCTAGTGTTGTTATATGATTGTGGCTGATGGAACATAGTAGTCTCCAAAGAACTGAAGATGATGATCACCCCAAATTAGTCAACCAGTAAACATTTATTAAGCATCTACAATGTGATAGGCATCAGAGGGCAATGGAAAAGAAAAAAAAATAATACGTGGCTTTACTTTATATAAGATGTCTGTTGTTAGCCATTGCTTTTGAATAGAAATGTATGAAATGGGAGAAGGACCCACATGTACAAAAATATTTATAGCAGCTCTTTTTGTGGTGGCAAAGAATTGGAAATCGAGAGGAATGTAATGAATGTAATGGAATACTATTGTGCTATAAAAAATGATGAACAGGCAGACTTCAGAAAAACCTGGAAAGAACTTCTTTGGTCTGATGCTGAGTGAAGTGAGCAGAACTAGGAGAACGTTGTACGCAGTAACAGCCACATTGTGCGATGACTAATATTGATAAACCGAACCCTTCTGAGCAATTCAAGGATCTAAGACATCTCCAAAGGCCTCGCGAAGGAAAGTGCTATCCATATCCAAGGAAAGAACTATGGAGTTTGAATGCAGATCAAAACATACTATTTGCTATTTTTTTTCTTCTGTTGAGTTGTGTTTCCTCTTTCTCGTGGTTCCTCCTATTGGTTCTAATTCTTAACTTAAAACATCACTAATGTGAAAATATGTTTAATAGGAATGTATATGTATAGCCTATATCAGATTGTGTGCCATCTTGGGGAGGGAGGTAGAGAGGGAGGGGGAGAAAAAATTTAAACTCAAAAGCATATGGAAGTTATTGTTGATAAATCAAAATAAATTAATTAAAAAATAGAAATGTTTGTAATTTTGAGATTTTTCTGTATTTATTATTGGCAAATAAATTAGAAGAGAAAGGATCATAGCATCTCAATTATAGGGTAAATGATGCCAGTAGAAGCAAAAAATACTCGGTCACATACTAGTTTGGGGCATTAGAAAGCTCTTCATAATTCATAAAAACATAAACCTCTAGCAGATATAAGCTATATATCAGTATTTTTAGAAGGATAAAATAATTTTGTTGACCTCTCCCTCATGCTGTAGTTTTTTTTAGCAACAAAGAACTTTGCTTATATTTACAATTGTTATTCCTACCTCTCACTACCCAAATTCAATACAATAAGATAAAATTCACCTGTTTCTTTTCCCTCGCTGTTCTCCTTCTTCACTTTTTTTTTTAACCTAAGACTTCAGTACTTCAATGGATTGATGATTAATAAGGGTGTTCCCTCTTTATCCTGTACAATTATTAGCTCCATTATCCTGTAGATCTTCTTTTAAAAAATCTTCCTGTTGTTTTAAACATTATCTTTTAATTCTTTTTATGTTTGGTGGCTATTCAAAGCTAATCTCTTTTGAGTAATCATGGATCTCATCGAGGGTTCCTGTATTGCTTCTACTGACTATTTTAAGTGGCAAAATATCATCTTGGGAGAATCCTTTTGGAAAAGAGGTCCTTAACTTGGTGTCCAATGATAAATTTTTGTGGGTTTGTAAACTTAGATAGTAAAAAAGTCTATCTTTATTTTAACTGACCTCTAACTAAATATTCGAATTTCCTTCAATTATTTTGAAACAATCTCATAAGTGGTCCACAGATTTGGCTAGACTGCCAAACGAGTGTATCTCTCTCTCTCTCTCTCACACACACACACACACACACACACACACACACACACACCCCTACCCCTGATTTAGGCCCTACATAAGATAATCTTCATGACAGTGTTGAAAGAAAATCCTTTTCAAGTATATGTTTCCCATTTTTTTGGCCTTGTTTGACACAAATAATCAAAAGATCATTGAATAAAATTATCATGTATGACATTAACATATGCATGAGGGATTCCTTGTTGGAGGAGAGTCTTTAAAGTTGCTTTTTGCTCAACTGAGTCGAATGCTTTTTTGGTAATCGTCAGATAATAAACATAACTCAAACCTTGTATTCTTTCTATATTTTGATCAATTCCATAACAGTAAAAATATGATCTATATAATAGAAAATAATTTGTGGGACCTCCTCATTTCTCTTCTGTTTTAATTAATGTTACCTTCTAAGTATAATTTAGCTACATAAATTTTGAACTTGTCTCATTTTTTAGGGCTTTGTGTCATTATACACTTTTCTTCTTTATTTCTACAAAATCTTAAAATGTTACCTTCCTCTTTCAAAACAAAAGAATTATCAGTCTTATTTCTGAGTTTTTCTTAAAATGTTTTCCATGATGTTTTTGAAAAGCTTTTTAGAGTCTCTTACATTTTTACCATACTTAAAAACAAAAACAATTATGGTGGTCCTTATATAATAGTACAGATAATTTTAGTGGTTATTGCTTTGAATCAGTTTGATTGACTGTTTCTATTTCTTGATAATTCTACTGGCATTACTAATACTTAAAACATATCATTCTCAATAACATGAAAATGATGAATTCTACAAGAGTTTTGTATGTATTTCCTTTAAATTTATAATTCATGAGTTTGTGACTTTTTTTTAATAAAAAAGGAGATGTTGGAGAAATAATCATACTACTGTAGTGTGTTGGTTTTATTATCAAGTGACATCAAATTCCAGTAACAATGGCATCATTTAAATATTATTAAAATTTTCAATAAGAGAATATGCAAAATATTTCATAGATGAAGTTTGGGGACCTGATTTTCATCTGGTTGAAGGACCACAAATACTTGAAATGTGTTGTGTATTACACATTTTTTTTTTTGTGTGTGTGTGTGTGTGTGTGTGTGTGTGTGTTTGCCAGTATTAGCAATCTGCTTTTGTACTTTGACATCCAGGATTTCCCTGGTGAATTTTGTCACAGAAAAAAGAGAATCATCAATATCGCAGTTAAACTTGACTTTCAAAGCTAATAGTATCTCATTTGGGGACTCAAATTTAATAAATTTTCTTTGATTCTGGGTGAGTTTTTAAACATCAAACAATGAATTGGCCAGGGTGCAGTAAAATATTTAGATCTATTGACTGTGGTTCAGAAGGGTAGAAGGAAAAACACTAGTGGTTTGATGTTGATAAATTCTTAGTACCTTAATCCACATTAATGTTTTCTCTTATCTCTGTGCATATTGGTGACAAAAAAGCCAGAGAAAGTGATGCATGTATAAAATGTAAAACTTAAAACAGATATATTTGTAAATTATCATTTTTTTGTGTTATATTCAATAAGTTTAACAGAACTGTCCATGTTGATAGAAGGCCCTGGAGAATGTTTGTTCCAGGCAAGTATATATTCTGAACCTAGTGCATAGTATTATGTGTATGTTGTGCCCATACCATTATAAAAATTTATTATAGTTCATATGTTTGGATGCCACAGGTATTGACAAAAATTCTTCAAGTCAACCTGGGAAATAAATGGATTTCTATTCCCATAGACTAACACAGAGAATTAAAGAAATCATTGTATGGTAGTGGTGGTGGTGGTGGTGGTGGGGTGTGTGTGTGTGTGTGTGTTGTGTATGTGGGGCTACATGATGAACACTATGGATATTCATGTGAGATATGTATGATATTTATGCAGTTCATCTGTGTAATCAGCAATATTTTCTGCAATTTTACAAGGAACCTGAGCATGATGAAATATAGAATTTTAAATGATTATATCATTCCTACTAAAAGTGAACAGTAATATGTTTAAACTCATACAAATAAAAAGGGTAACAAGATATTTCTCTTTGGTAATGGGCTTTAAAAAATAATTTATATTATCTTCCTACTCAGTATTTAACTATTTCATCAGGTACATTTCTTTGTAGTTTTAAAATGTCTATAATGTATGGAACTTTATATGTTAATATATGTTATCAAAGAGATCAATTAATATAATTTCTCCACCAGCATGAAATATTTCTTAAATGTATGTGTTTGAAAGGGGAAATATGCTTTAAATGTGAAAATGACATTAATTAAATTATGACTATAAATGGAAACTCAGGATCTTAAGTAAAAGTAATATCATCAGTGAATAAAATTATTAGCCAGTTAAAAGCTAAAATATTTATTGTGTTTGCTTTTCTGAGCATTTTACTTGAATTTCTGTGGTTCTTACTGCGTTAGTTGTTTTGTTATTAAAGCAATTTCCTATTTATCCAGAAGGTGGCAGTGTGATACCAACTGCTTGTTGTTGCATTATTGGACAGAGAAACAGTGTCTCATATCTGTTGTGTGTTTTTACATGTATCTTTGGAGTACCTAAAATCAAGCTACATAGATTTAGTACAGTTACTCCTGGTTTTCTCTCTAGTTTATATCACTAAGAAATTGTGTGACTAAATTAATTACTGTGCATCAAATTGTATCTTGATAAAAATTATCTAGAAGCACCATTTAAGGGGAACTGGTAGTAGAAGCTTACTGTGGGCTTATTTTTGGAAGATCTTTTTCTTTTGTTTTGTGTATACTTGCATTTATACTTGGACCTGTACTGTAATGAAGTTCTGCTTTCCAAAGAGCCGCAACTCTTAATTATTTTGTTAGTTTTGTTAGTATCCCAGCTAGATTAAATATTCTGTTAAAAAAATAGCAATTAGGGAACATGCCTTTGTTATATTTATTTTTATTTTTTCTGCCATTGATTCTTTGTGGTTTTTTTTTAAGAAGGTGTGTTGTTTTTTGAAGGTTAGACTGTGGAAAAAATAATCTGAAACTGCTTGATCAGAAGAGCTCCAAGTGACTCCCCCCCTTGTCTCTCCTCTCTCTCCCCCCCCCACTTGAGGCAGAAGGAAGATGCTTTTTCTTCTTAACATTCTCCCCCAGCACTCTGAATTAGAGATTTATTTGCAACGAAAAATCAATTAGTCCTAAATTTATTCATGGATTTCAGGTCCAACGATCAATGCAAGTCCACTCAGTGGGCTCAAGGGGACCCAGTTCATCCCAGTTAATGTGTCTGAAGGGGAATTACCATTGATGCTGTTTTTTTCCCTTTAGGTCAGAGATCAGATCTCGCTGTCACGGACTGCGGCAAGCAGGAATGACTTCACCCTGCAGCTACCCAAACTGCACCTGGAGACCCTTGCATTGGAGGGGCTGAAGGGCGGGCCAGAGGTTGTAGCATGCCAGGTTAGCATCTAAATAACCTTGTTTGATACAAAGATGTGTAGAAAAATAAATTGCACTAAATGGAGAGGATGCAAGCTTCAAAGTGTTGTGGTCAGCAACTTAAAAGAAAAGCAAACTAATTTCCTTCCACCTATATGATACATTTCAGAAATAATTGAAGTCTTCTTTGAAAATTGGCCTATTAAATAATTTGAGAATGTATTTTTACCAAAGAAAATATTCCAAATATATTATAAGTTGTCTCTCATTGAGAGATCATTTGCATCTGAGCAAGACAAAACAATGAGACATTATCTCCTAGCTTGTTTCAATTTATTCATTAAAAAAAGGATTTGTCTTAAATTATTAGGAAACAGATGCCTAGAAATTTAAAAATACTAAATCCAAAATATCTTGCCTCAATATAAATTTAATTTAAGTTATAATTATTTCTTATTAATAAAGACATTTTTCTTTCCAACCATAACTAATTTTAAAAACTACTGTCACAATCACAGAATATAATTTGTTTACAAAGCCCAAGATACATCCCAAGCCATAAAACCCCAAACAACAAAAAGGAAAATTTTAAAATGAAGAAATTAAATAACCCTTCTTTCAGATTTCTAGAAATATGTTTGTTACATGTAACTTTAGATATGTCTTTATTTTAAAAATTATGATATGCTTTAAATTGTAATGATATATTTTTCCCTCAGGGTAAAATTTTTTTAAATAAGAAGTCAATACTTCTTTTATTGTCTTTTTATTATATACTACCATCATATGAAAATTCTCCAAGGTCTATGCAAACAGCAGGAAGTTACAAATTATGTGGTGAATATCACTATGGTTTTAAGAATATATCTAAAAATCCCATGAAACTTTGAAGAGTCTATACCTCTAAGCTGCATTTTAGTGTTCCAATAGATTTGTTTCTATTTTATTTATTTTCTATTTAGATTTTTTATACTATGTGATTTTAGTTGGAGTCAGAAATGAATTCTAACAGGTATGACAGAATTTATTTTTTTCAGTTGCTCAGTATTGTCTTAAATTTAGTTTGTCATGAGAACTACCATCATTAATGTCCTACAAAAGAAAAAAATACTCTTTCCTTCATAAGATATTTGGCTACTGATAGAATTATTAAAATATATGTTTATATTTAAAATGATATAATTTTACAAATAATCATTAAATATTTGATAATTTGACTTTCTTATAGTCTTTTATGGACAAGTATACTGACTCTGTGCTTTGATTTAACACAAAATTAAAATATATGCCACCTTTTCCTATAGTTGCACCAGTCCTCCCCCTTCCTTCATCCAGGTTAAAATATATACTCGTCTCTTCTTTAGCTTCGCTCTTCCTCACTCCCCACCAGCAACTTAGAAATTTGATGATATAATTATTTATTCATCACTTGCTATATGGCCACTGAGGGAGAGGGTCTTTGTGCATCCCCAAACCCACCTCAACTGTGTTCATTCTTTCAGAAACATAAAGCATTGAGTATATTCTTCAAGCCCCTACTAGCACACACAGATGCTTCCTCATTCTTCCCTCTTCATCCCCACTCCCACCTCTAACCTCTTGGCTCAGTCCTAGTTTCTTTCATATGGTCAAATTCCTATATAAAAATTCAATTTCCAGGGAATTTATGTGCTTCTTAAGATTAAGCTCCCCCTGTAATTAAGCAGAGAAGACAAACAGGAAGGCTTGTGACTATAATCCCATTCAAATATATTTTTAAAAACCCCTACATTCCCAAGGTGTTCTTATTCTATGCAAACAGTAACATTTCAAAAATATTATTACTAGAGCTTTTGAATGCTAATTATTGCAAAATAACTTTTTGGTGAATGTACCTTTCTCTTTCCATACTATCACAAGTCAGAAAGTGGATAAGACATTTCCTAGAAAGCCAGGATCATAAAATTTAGGACTAGAAGGAAAATCAGAGAGATTTTAGTCCATTATGTGGTTGATGAAACAGAAGCCCCAAAGGAAGGGTGTGATGACATGCCCAAAGTTACATAGCTAGTAAATAACATAGCTAAAATTCTTACTCCTGGACTACACTGAGTACCCCTTTCACTATGTGCTTCTCCGAATTTGGTGATTGCATAAGTGGCAGTTGCCATTGAACCAAAACTTTTATTTCACTTCTAAAATGGTTGTTCTTGGGAAAGCATATAATTTGAGGCTCTGAGTTTTATAGATTATAAGACCTTTTATAGATTATAGGACCTTGGCTTAGGCATCCTTATGAAGTCCTAATTTAAGTAGTAATACAAAATGCCTCTTACTTCAATACTTCATGAGTTTTTATAGGATTTGAATTCCTCTACATCTCAACCTCTAGATATCACCTGTTTATACACAGTAGTTTAGAATTATATTCCAGTGAACATCACACATTTGTGATTAAATTGTTTTTTTTTCTAGTAGGTAGCTTGTAATACACTTTGGGGAAAAAAGCACTAAGTAATTGTGTAAAGCATTAGTATTATGAAAGACAAGTTCAGACATTCATGCTGGTTGATAAGGGTAAAACATTATAAATTCATGAAGTAATTTTGTTCCTCCATTTATGAAATGATATTGATACATCTGTGTATGGTATTGTAGGTCACAGTTTATATAGTTCTATAGACAAATCAGCAAATGTAGAATAATTCTCTTTGAATCAATCAATCATTCAAATATATTAATGTTATTGAATGCTCCCCATTTCCATTTTTTTATACATAGACTAATTCTGTAGGTAGTGTAACCCTTCTCTGACCCTGTTCTCTGACTTTATTTTGGGAAAATATACTGTCCCAAGAACATATTAATGAGGAAAGAGCAATATCTCAATACTGTGGAAGACTGTACTAATGGTGCACACCATTTTTAAAAATTCAAACAGTCCTGTCTTAAGGTTGAAGGCCGAGCAAATATGCTATTGGTTATGTTCTCTAAAGAAACAAGACTATATTCCTGGTATATTTCTGGATGGAAGGGAAATTGTTGGATATTATTCCTTATCTGCATCCAGATGAGGTCATACATAATTTGTGCTACACAGGAAAAACAGAATGTAGCTAATCTCTTTGATTTTAGGAGGCTATAGTGGATGCACTAAGGTGGCAGTACCTTGATTTTCCCATTTCTAAGAGTTTCTCTTGCAGCCTATTTGTTTTGTATATTTGGGAGAATGTTTGATTTGGGTTCTTCCTCTCCACATTTTTCCATTTGATTCCCCCTTTGTTTCCTCAAAGGCTTTAAATCACAACTGTTTTGATCAAGGAGAGCATAGCTTATCCCCCTCTTGAAGCTGCCATGTCACTTGATGTGTCAATCAAAGTATGTCTCCTGTGACACAGTCTTTGCTAGGGGCTCCAGATGCTGCCTTTGCTGCATTTAAAGCTCCTACAGGCATAGAAGCAAAATCTTAGCCAGACCTTGATCTCCCAAATATCAGCACCCAAGGCTGCCACAAGGTACTAGGCTACAGTTCTTTAAAAGAAAAGAAAACCCAAAGTTGTAAAAAAAATGACAATAGTTAACAACCTCAGTTAGGAAGTCAATGATAAAAATAATTGCATTATAAACACCATTAGCTCACTTTTTGCAATACTTTGCAGTCTACAAAGTCAAGGATTAAATGTACAGAAACTCATATTTAAACATATCTTTCTCCATTGAAGACAAAAATAATTCTAGTTGCCTACTATAGTGTGCATTGATATTATCTTATTTATTCACCCCAATACAGAAATAATAATGAGCACAGGGATTAAACCTATGACTTTGAGACCTGTATACTCACGTTCTAACCAGTTGAGTTAACCAGACACAATGGCTGGCTTGGAAAGCTGGTATTGCATAAACTGTACCTGTTGTCAGATAGCATGAGTTTCAATGCTTTGACTCATTTCACTCAAAAAGAACAACAAAAACAACAAAAAAAAAACCTATTGCAAAATGTGTAAAGATTAGCCCAGCATTCTACAATCCCCTTTTGTAGATGCTATGTTTTAATCGGTAAATGCACAGTTATAAACTATTAAAAAGTAAAGAAAGATTCATTATTTAAAAACATTTAAAAACCAGATTATTTACCCTAGACATAATAATTCTCATAATCAGTACTAACCTACCACATAGTTACATAGTTTTTATTTGGTATGGTTTTTAGGTATGTGTAATAGACTGTTGCAATACAGTAATTTCTTAAAATAGCCAAATTCCCGTAGGCATAGGATTTTTTTCATATTCTATTGCTATATCTAGATAGTTTAAATCATAAATACATGGCAAAATGGGGTCTAAAAAGTCATCGAAGTGTGAAATAGGTGCTGTCCTATATGTAGCTTATCAAGCGTTATTAGATATACTAAGAATTTTGCATGTCATTATACTATTTGATATTATAGTCTTTGAAAAAAATTACATAAAAGTCCTTTAAACCTTTTTTTGCATTTTAAAACCTAAGAGAGTATGAGCAATTCCACTTGAACATTTGAGCAGTTTAGAAGTTTTGATTCTAATTTGCATGATACCAGTAATATTATTTATATGATAATAAATAATTACTTTTGTCACTAAGTAATAATGTATTCTACTTATGTGGGTTTTCCAGGTAACTGAAGCCTTAAGCTTCAGTTTTAAAAATTTAAAGAAATTTGAAGAATTTTTATCAAAAGTTTATAAAATACATATTTCCTCATTTAAACAATATATTGAACATATTTTTAACTCTTGGTGGCTCAGGGTTATCATTATAAGTATCAATTATTATACTGTACATACCCTTAAGAGCCACCCTAGTATAGTTATTTATTTGTCCCTGTGACGTTTGTAGTCCCATATGCCTATTTATTACACATTTTTCTTCTGTTGTCAGATGTCTTCTCCCCCTGGAACTTGGTACTTCTAGTCTGTAGCCCTAATTTTACTTTCAGTTTTCTTTGTTAGGACCTGAAAGTCATTCTTCCTCTCTTTCTAATTCCACTATCTGAGATTTT